TTGATTGGAAATTTTACAACGGCAATGCCAACATTTTTATTGAATTCAATAATAGAAAACTCCTTCTTTCTGCGATCAATGAAGTTTTGATGACACATCCCAATATCCCATTTAATATTTGAATCAAGATACTTCTTTTCCTTCCAATCCAAATGCGCCTATATATAGATTAAAAATGATTCCTACTATGATTTCTTACCAACATATAAAAAGAGCATTATCCTACTATAGACCTATAAAAACATTGGAAGACAAATTTAGAAATTGCTATGATTCTTATCAGGATATAATTATTACTTTCAAAAGACTCACAAAACCACATCAATTGAACTTAGCCTGGGCCCATAATATTAATGGTCTAGTCCTAAGATGTGCACATATTAATACCTCTGTTAAAGATCTTAAAGTAAGAAATAGCTTCGTCACTAGTTTCAAAGGATTCCCAAATAAAACTACACCTGCAGAAGCATTCAGATCAATGAGACCTCATGAAGCCTGTTCTTGTTATTTTCACAATAAAATTGCTTACTTTGCATTTTCGAATGAATCTAATATGCATCGAGCTTGTTCAACTAAAATTCTTCACAATAGATATAAATTGGATGGATGACCTAGAATCCTCAGTAGATCATACAACCCTACTTAACAAACCATTCCAGGTCACAATCCCAATTTAAATAAAAGATACAACAGACGTAATTCAGCTTCTCACAAATCAGGAGGTCAAATAAATGTTGATCATTACGTTTCATTTCCATACCCTGCTCCTAATATTCCTGTCGACATCACACCAAAAGGCAAAAATAAGGATTTATCTCATCAACCTCTTTCTAATACCAATGTTGATCCTTTAACTGCTATACTCAATAAACTACAAGAATTAGATTCAATCAAAGCCTATTTAGCCAAACTTGATGCTCAATTCTTAAATTTTTCCAACCATGATGGAGCTGTAGCCCTACTCTTATAACAGTCATACCAGGCGAATCATATTTAAATGATATTCATACTGATAACCTGAATATTCATAATAACAACATAGATGTAGACTCATTTCTAAAAACTCAAATTTTAACATTTCACACACAGAGAATCCAAATGACTAAAAAATTGGACATGAATATTGCATATATTGATGATACCAATGTCAACACAATTATAGATAGAGCTGTCATTAAATTTTCTACACACAACGTTCTTAGTTTGGCTGAAAAGACTGATCCAGTTATATCCTCTCAAATTTTTGAACATTGCTATCTTAACAAATTGGATTTTATCAGCCTAACTGAAACTCATCACACCAGCTCCATTTTCTACAAACACAAAAAGGATGATAATTATACTACTTATTGGAGTAAGCCTGACTCATACAAACCTTACGCTGGAGTTGGTATCCTAATATTGAATAAATGGGCTCAATATATCATTTCGATCTTTCACTTCTGCGTCCAGATATACTTATGTTATTTTATAGTTGCGGGACGAAACCATAATAGGCTAATGTCGAAAGTCGAAACCAAAACCGTCGAAAGTCTAAACGT